AAGACAGAATACTCGTCTCTTGAATGCACCGTTTTGTACTGTTGGTCTTGGGCCGCTTCAACCTTTTCTGATTCATATGATATGACGAGAGATTCACCTTCACCGATACAAGAACAAGGGAAATGTGTTGCGACAGTAAATGCCTTATCCCCTTTACCCAACTGAATCACAATGTTTGCTGTAGGCCTCACCTCATTTTCTAAACTCGATCATATCGCCTCCAGCACTGTGCGAGGTTGATCACATGTAATACTGTATTCTCTGTGGTCGGTAGGACTGCATTTTACAGTGAAATTATGTAAATGTTCACCCTGCAGGAAACAGTGAGAAAATAACAGTTAAAAATGTCCTTGTTGATGAAATAAAAATGCAGACTTTTTGTGCAAGCAGTGCATCAGTGTACTCACCGTGGAGTCACCATCGTTCTCCTTCTTCACTCTCACTTTGCTGCGTGTGTCAGTCTGCAAAATGAGAAAAGGATTTAGCTTCACTGCTACAAAGATTTGAACTAAAAAGTTTCCCTGTGGAGTTTTTGACCACCTCGTTTGCATCCTCGCGCTCATGCACAAGAACGCACACATGCATGTAAAGATGGGTGACGTGATGCAAAGTCCTACTCATGGTTTCAGGTTATTCCAATGATAAACAGTTGGTGACAGTGTAACCTAAGACAGGTCTACTTTCTGACACCTCTTGTGTTCTTGGCGTTGTCAGCAGGATACCACAATCATTAAACACACCTTGTTGACTCTCCAAGCACACCTGAGGCAAATCACATAAACAAGAGAGATGCGCAGGATTGGACGGACCGATAAGCGACAGTTGAGAAGAGGCCCTGGACTTGGACCTGGTATGGTGTGGTTGTGGAGAACAGTAGACCGACACCACTTGGGTTGTGTCAATGAGGGATGTTACTAGTTAGCTAATGGAACGTTACAGTCAACCAGTTAACCTAGCTAACCAGTCAGCAAAAAAAACCCTGTTTCAAATAATTTTAAATGTATGCAAGACAAATTTCACTTAAAATTAAAGCTGCGAGCAGCATTGATCGGGCCCTCGCAACTTCACGCACGGCGAGGGTACTGGCAGGACTCTGGCCATGCATTTCTGTGACCATCATACACTGCGTGCACGAGTTAAACGGTATTTCCTGGTACTGGCAGGACTCTGTGTGACGTGGCCATGAATTTCTGTGACCATCACACTCTGCGTGCACGAGTGAGATATTTCCTGCGTAGACCAGCAGCGTAGCAAGATCATGTTGCCAGGTCTTAAGCCTCAAATGTTTAGAGTGTACATCCGATACAATCATAAATGTAAGCCTTTAAAGATCATTAAGAAAATGAATGTGTGTGAATGTGCTTCAGTGTTTGTAACATAACAGACTGTCAGTTTACTGGGATGGGGTTCAACTCCCTGCAGTGTCCTGCTGATTATATTTGGACTTACATGAAAGTTAACAGAACAGTAGTGCCATTTGCTGTTACTTGAACACTTTAATTTAACACTGTTTTCATTTTAAGTTCTTCTGTAACTTTAGATTGTAGTGTGAAGCATTCATTGTAACGTTTAACCTGATTGTCATGAAGAAGCTCTGGACAGATCATTTATACTAATGCCCACTGACATGGTTTGAAAAACCACTGTTATCTAACTTTTGCTCTCCAAGCATCTTAGTTTGCACATATTTAGATCAGAGAAGTCTTTTTCTCATGGTGTGCCCACAAACCCTTTTAATAAGTTCAGTGTTTGGGCCGCTGTAAATATAGAATCCTGCTTACGTCCGTGCTTATCAGTAGGTGGCGCTATGACTATGAGTTAATATTGGCATGCAGAAGTCCTAAAGCCATGACAGTCAACAAGCATGTCAAGTTTGGGACAGTTTTGACAAAGTACAGTCGAGTTACAACAGCTTGATGGATGATGGTGAAGCATGTAAAATGGCCGTCACACCATATCCACGTCGTTCGATGAAACCTAAAGCTTTTAGTAACTTTTAATCGCTAAGGTCTTTAGATTGTTCTGACCAAATTCTAAGCTGATCGGATTAATTCCCTAGGAGGAGTTCGTAGTACAGCACCTGGAAATGGAAAAAAACACGAGAAATTCATATAAAATTCAAAATGGCTGACTTCCGGTTGGGTTTAGAGCATGGTCCCAAGAGACTTTATTTTAAGTCCACATGTGATACATGTGCCTACCAAATTTTGTAAATCTATGTGAAACGTACAGCGAGGGCTGCTTCGTTGAAATTTTGTAGGGGGCGCTATTGAGCCGATTTGCCACTCTGAACCAATAAAATCATGTTATATAACTACATCTTGGGCTTTACATGTGTATGCCAAGGTTGCTTATGTTTCAAGCATTTCTAGCCTCTCAAAAACACCTTAATTTTTCATGGTGAAGAATGCGTCGCCACGGCAACAGCTTTTCACAAAACAACAAGCTTTGAGTAACTTTTCATCACAAAGGTCTTTAGACTGTACCGACCAAATTTGAAGTTGATCTGATTAATTCACTAGGAGGAGTTCGTTAGAGTGCAGCGCCTGGAAATGACAAAAACGACACTAGAAATTCATAAAGAATTCAAAATGGCTGACTTCCGGTTGGGTTTAGAGCATGGCCCCAAGAGACTTTTATTTAAGTCCATATGTGATACATTTTCCTACCAAATTTCATACATCTAGGTCAAGCATACTGCGAGGGCTGCTTTGTCGAAATTTTGTAGGGGGCGCTATTGAGCCGATTTGCCACTCTGAACCAATAAAATCATATTCCATAACTAAATTTTGGGCTTGTAATCTGCTTGCCAAGTTTGCTTATGTTTTGAGCATTTTTAGCCTCTTAAAATGACCTTCGTTGTTAACGGCGAAGACTGCATCGCCACGGTTGAACTGGCATTATGAACTTCTTACATTTGTGTGGAAGTAATTTGTTGATTTGATTTACCTACTAAGAGAAACAAGCCAAAGTATAAAGACTTTAACTTCCTGTTACCAGTAGGTGGGGCTATGACTATGATTCAAAATTGGCCTGCAGATGTCTTCAGGACTGGAGTCTAATCAAACATGTGAAATCTGGAAAAGATCTGATGATGTGGAGTCGAGTTACATCAGTTTATTCGTTCATGGCAAAAGATTGAAATTTGCCGAGCCGCGACGTCGCCGCCCTCGGATAACTTCTTACAATCTTCACAATGAAGCATTATCAAGGTCTTAAGACTTTTCTGACAACATTTTAGAGGGATCTGATTAATCTGTGAGGAGCAGGATGTCAAAGTACACAACTTACAACTTCCAGTTGCCACTAGGTGGCGCTATTACTATGATTCTAAATTGTCATA